AAAAAAAAACAACTCCAAAACCATACATGAAAGTATGTTTTGGTTTTCATGTGAATTCTTTTTTTTTCCTGTCCTGAACAAATGGAAGACTATATGCAAATGGTCCCTGGCTTGCTTATTTGTTTGAAGACTAATCTGCATTTGAGTTTTGCTCACCTCAAAGTGGTGTACTGAGAGAAGTGTTTATTGGCAAGAACAACAAGCAATCCACAATTTTCCCTTTAACATACTAAAAAAAAGAAAGTATCGAGAAACTTGAGGCAAAAATGTGTTTGCCTTTTTGTCTCTTTTTTAACTAAGTGGGGAAAAAAGTCACCTTGACATAGGGGCAGTTAAGAGCTGCTGTTCTCAGAGTTAATTTGTCAGTCTGGTAGTCACTGCATTTCACGGAAGGAGGAATAAAATGCATGTTCCCCTCTCTGCCATTTTTGGATTGTTACCTTTTATGTTCTTGTTGCAGAGCTTTTGTTAGCTTTATGGCCAGCTAGCATTGTCCATGTGAGTTGGGCTGCATGCACACTCCCTTTTGGGATTTCTATTTAGATTTGCAATTTTTAGTAGCCTGTTGCTCACTGTGCAGCCAAGGCAATAGCACCGCTCGCCCCTAATGGGAATACACAAAGTGTCTGAGGTGTGTATATTTGGGATCAAAACTCAGTGCAGCACTTGCCCCAGGGCTTTTTACTTTAACAAGCCATTACTTCTTTTTTGTATTATTTTGGTGGTGACGAAGGAGGTGGGGAACAGAAAGGAGCAATGGTACCTTCCAAGAGTTGCTTCCATGATGAGCAGACTTTTTGTAAAGAAAAGTGTATTCTGTGCCTCCACCAGCATGGGGAACGGGAGGCAGGGACATTGCCAGTGAGCCTTGCTCTTTGTACCATGGTTGTGACATTCTGCACTGGCATCTGTGTTGCTGTGGATGATATTTCCTGCTAGGCTATTCACTAGCTGCTCGGAATACCAGCCAGAGCAGAGCAGGTTTCTTCAATATACAGGTCATGCAATAGTTCATGAAATCTTTTCTTAGAATGTACCGTCCCTAAAGGGTTACTTCATTGCTTCCATGATTAAAAATAAAATAAATTGCTTCTCTCTGCTCTTTTAAGGAAAAAATTGTGTTCTCCTACTAACAGACCTGGACATAAAACTGAGACATAGGTATCTCTGGTATATATGGAGTTGAGGATCCCAGGATGTACTTCATGCTTCCACTTTTTCAAGTGAACAGATAGCTTTGTATTTCAGCATGCATTTGTACCTGAAAGGTATTTTTGCATTTCTACAATTTCCATCATTTTCCAGATATGCTCAAGACTTAAATTACTTCTCAAAAATAAATGCAGAAGAGGAATATTGTTAGAGAGATTACTTATTTCCATTGCCACGTGCAGGATGATGGAATAAGTCAAATTCTAGATGGACAAATGTTTTATCTGCATCTTGTTTATAACGATTTAAAGTAAATTCTAAATAGTTTAAAAATAGTTAATACCTCACAGGTTTTATAAATTTGTTACAAATTACAACAGTGTGTGTTCCAGGTAGTTAGGTCAAACATGTTAATAAATAGTTACTTGTTACAGATTTTTTTTTAATTAACATTTTAAAGAAATTACTAAACCTTTCCAGTGTGAACATAATACAGGGGGAAATAAGCAGTGCTGAACCACTAACACAGAATATTAAAAACATCTCTGTTCTGGAACACTATGTTTGATTTCTACATTAATGTAAAAGCAAAGGCAATTAAGATGAAAAGAAAGAAGAGAATGAATCTGTGCAGATCAAATCTCAAGTATAGAAAATTGAATGTGATATTCATGTTCTCTCTCTCCTGAAGAAGAGAGCCTGCTTTCTTTATCCTTGGTGTGGCTGCAAGGAAAAAGGACACAGTTTTGCCTTTTGAAGTACAGAACATGTCTGAAAAATGCTTAAATCCCAGATGAACGTGTGAGAGGTAACACCCACCCCCTGGGACAAGGCTAATAGGTCATAAGCCTGCCAGTAGGGCTGACAACAGAGCCTGCTCAGAAAGTGCTCACTAAAAATCCTGCCCTGCTTCTACATTTAGTCATCCTGAAGCATTTAGACAAGGGCCAGAATCTGGGTCTGAAATGTATGGCAGCTTATTCATCATTTAGGTATAGGTGATTGGTCTGCTCTTTAAAAATGTTTGTAATATTTAGAGGAAGCCACCTTTTGTACAGTGGTCAGGAGATTAAAGTTCACAGGCAGAACCTGGAGCTCTGGGCTCAGCATCCTTCTCAAGCCCTTTCACCTCTCCAGGAGTGCCTTCCCCAGCAGGATTCCTGGGCTCCAGCTCAGTCCCCAGCCCACGGTGCACAGGGCTGTGACCAGTTTGGTACAAAGATCCCCCTTTGGCAGCACAGCCCCAGCCTCAGATTCCCAACCTCGGAGCAGCTTGTGAGTTTTGTGTTGGGGAGTAGCTGGAAGGGAGCAGGGCTGGAAGCCTCCCGGGGCAGCACGTCTCTGAGGGAACTGAGTCATGCTGCCTTCTTGTTTGCCATCTCTGTAGCCCTGTGAACTGTGCATTTCTTTCCAAACAGTGGCACAGCTTCAGCTATGACTCCCACTGCAGTTTTACTTTGAGCCTGGTTGCTAGGAGATGGCAGCTCTGAGTTCAGATGCCCTCCTCACCACCTCTAGCAAAGACCTCACATCCCACATTTTCTGCCTTCTTCAGAAGGGCTCTGGAGGACACACATTTAGGAACAGCAAATTTGTGGGTTCCAGACAGTGAGGGTAAGGAGACAGGCCCTCAGGTACTCTGCTCAGCTGTAGGAGTTAGTCCTCTCTGCACTACACCCCTTGAACACAGTCCAGTCAATAAATTTGCAAAGATCCCCTACTGATCTTCATGAGAAAAAGATGAGGCTCTGAGTGAGGCTATGGCAGGAAATATCTAGTTTAGACCTGAGGATACAGAACATCTCAGCCTTGAGGGTGTTAAAGGTTTGGACAATAACGTTAAGCTTTGTTGCCAAGATAGAACTTTATTTTATAGCTTATGAATATTTTCTCAGAGAATATAATACATTTTCTCATATAAGAGACAGCAATGACCTTTGGAGATAAAAAGTAAATAATATTAAATTTGAATTCCTGGCAAAATTACATTGCCATTTTGGCCCTTTGTTTGAGCCTATTATTACTTGAGAAAATGCATAGGAGATCACTTTGGCCAGCTCTCTTAAAAAATGCAAAGCTTTGCCTCAGCTCATATCTGTACCCAAGAGGCCTCATTCTGATTGTTTATGGAATTAATTATCTGATGGTTCACTGTTCCATATTAAATATTAAAATTTTTGTTAATAATATATATATATTTACACCACCTCCTGAGTCATCTCAATTGTGCCCAAGTCTCTTTCACCAATAAATATCCACAAGACTGAGCTATCTTCATCTCAGAAAAGTTGGTAGCATCTTACTTAAGACTTAAGGAACTTAAGACTGTTCCTAATGCAATCAGGAAAGCTGCCTCAGAACCCTTTTTGCTTCCACACAGAGACTGTTTGAACTGTTTGGTCCCTCTGTGCTGGTACATGCATTCTTGTTTTTAAGTAAACACTGTAAAAAATGAGATTTTATAGCATTCTTAATAAGTTTGGTATATTTAGCAACTGTGAGGTGGTTGTGCAGAAAAGAAAGCCATAAAATGGACAAAATGATACACAAAGGGGAGATAATTCTAGCAGACCATTTTCCATTTGTTTTCTGAAAGGTCTGCAAACATTCTCATCTCTATTTTGTAAAATAATGATCTTCTGTAGATTCATTTTATTTGAAATCACTGAAATATATTTTCATCAGAGTGTAGAATCAGGCCCATTAAAAAAAAAAAAATCTACAAGTTGAAAGAAACAAAGGAAAAATTCAGAGACATTTTTAGACTAACTCAGAAATTCTGGCACTCAGGTCCCTGTGGTGGGCTGAGCAGTCACTCACTGATAGTTTTCTTTGTTTCCAGCTACTAAAACCACATTAAATCTCTTGATGCCTTTGTTTTTTTTCACCTGGGTCATTACTAAAGTTGCTACAGGGGTGTTCTGTGATCATGGGTGGAGGTGAGGTGCTCTATGAGGTAAGTGGAGGTGGGGAGAAATGCACTTTCACCTCAGACATGATCTCCTTCAAGGGAAAAGTGGAGAGCCCTTGTGTCAAATCCTGTCAAATATTATCCAAGCACCTAAGAGGCAACCAGGGAGCACTGAGGGGACTTTGTGGTGTACAGTCACTGCTCATACACAGATAACAAAGAAATGCTTATGAGTCATGTTCTTAGAGGCATCCATACCACTTGGCCCTTGTGGGGATGGACACTCAGCCCTCTGCACACACAGAAAATGGTTTTTTATTCCATTCCTCTATTCCTTCTGTCATTTCTGAGGCTGATACATCAGAGTAGCTGGTGCATTCTGTATTGGTTTGGCTTATCAAGACAGGAATCTCTGGCTCAGAAGAGTCACTCCTGCAGTCAGAGAGTAATGGCTTTTTTCTGTCCTTTCTCATGCTCTTCCTGGACAGAGTTGGGTTTTGCAGCTTGTGAGCTCTTCAGGGTGAGAGGATGCATCTTCTCCTTTGAGAAACAGTATGGTTGGCTTGTGGAGCACAAATCAATGAATATTCTCAGATTTGTAGGAAACCTGTATTCTTGCACATTTCCACTGTTTCTTTTCAGCTGATATTTGGTCAGCCAGAAACACATCTGTGCTTGTTTAACACGTATTATACTTTTCTGAAAGCAATAGATGTGGAATCCTAACGAAGAGAAAGACCCTCTCACGCAAGATAAAGCCTAACAAAGCTTCAAACCCTTTCCTTGTTTTTGCAGGACGAGGCTGCTCCAGCTGACAAGCAGTACAAACAGGAGGCAGCCCAGGTCACTTACTCAACATCAGCTGTTTCCAGCACACAGGAGGTGTTGTACATCAATGGCAACGGGACCTACAGTTACCATAGTTACAGAGGGCTCGGAGGTGGGCTGCTAAATCTCAACGATGCTTCTAGCAGTGGTGAGTTGCCTTACAGAATGGGCCTCTGTGTGTATGTGCTCGTGTGTACGTTTCCCCCTGCTGTACAGAAAGGTAGTCCAAGGGTTCAGTACCCATAGGCTATTATCAGCTAACGAGCAGGAACACAGTCCCACAAACAGCTACTGCTGAGCAAAATACTTGCTCGCTGCACGCCAGTCTCCTTTCAGTTTCAAGGGACTAATTCACAACAGGGAGAGTCTGAACCTGAAGCCTCTAACAAAGCTGAGTAAAAAAGTGCCAGGTTAGAGCTTCAGTCGATTTGTATGACTTTATGAGGACCTGCCCTGTCATTCTTGTCCTTTCCCATACTGATCACAAAATGAGGCCATCAGTATCTCTGGCTGGAGTTTGCAAACACTGACCTCCATCTTTTGTAACAGAAATGAATTGACCTAGATTCCTCCCATGGTCTCTCTAGCAATTTTAATTTGCTGCACATAAGGAACTGGCATACCAAGTGTTAAATGAGAAATCAGCATATCCATCTATCCTCCAATTAAAAATGATGCAGGTAATTATGTGTCACCATGAGGCTGTATGCCCCTCTGAAAAAAACAGTGGTGTCATATTTAGACAACAATTTTTAGACAATGTCAATAATTTAGACAATGCCTTTCTTCTTACATTAACAAGCTCTTTTTTTTTAACAAACAAATGTAAGTGATTTGTATTATTTGTTTTAAATAAGCCCTCGTGTTGATTTCATAAAAATTCAGAGCTGAGGAAAAAGCTTGCCTGTTCTGATTGTAAGTGTACTGTCCATCTGTCAGACAGCCTCCAAGAACAGTATTTTTTAAATGCCTCAGAGGATAGAGAAATCCCTGGGGTTTGTCCTGGCTGATCCCTCTGTGGCTGAGGAGAGTGCTGCTTCAGGTAGAAGGGCTGACTTAGGCAAGATAGATTCAACATGCTAAGCAATATTCAAAACAAGTCAGGTCTGTCCAGCCTGCAAGGAGATACTGGTATGTGCTGTCCTGGTGACCTTCAGTCATGTCTGCTTCTTCATCCCTCACCCCCAAAGTCCTCTGAGGTCTGTGAATGATTTGCATTAAGTTTTCAAAAGGCATTAAAAAGGTAATATTTTAGTTGTCAGAAGTCTTTTGCCCTGAAGAGAGTGAATGATGATTACAATGGTTTCCATATGCATGAAAAACACATCTGAGGAACTGAACATGATCTCTGAGCAAATATTGTCATAAGAGTAAGACAAGCCCTGGAAATCTGGTTTCTTGGGAAAATGTACAAGAACTTTCCTATTGTCTTTTACATTGTGGCCAGAGAAGATCTGAGCCAGTTCCCACTGAAAAGAGTTGGCATTTACTCTTTCACCCAGCTAAGAGCGAGATTAAACTCCTCGTGTGTTATATGTCAGCAGAAGCCATCAGAATTGTCCTGTTTTACATAATCTTAAACTGTGAGGAATCACAACTGGTTTGTGTATTTGTTCTTCTCTTCAAGCCTCTTGTAATAGGATACATTTTCACAACCCCCCATTTTTCAGTGAATTGTGAGATTTAGTCAAAAATACTGTCACTTCAGCATGCAATTTTAAAAAATGAGGAACGTATTCAACATCATAAGCTAGTGCTGCTTTCTGATTAGAAGCAACAGGGTATTTTTGTACCTTTAACATAGAGGACTTCAGTGTTTTTTCACAATTAAAGCCCAAGGTGGGTTTTGCAGGACAAGCAGTGGTTATTCAGGAACTGCCAGGTGCTGCACAGCTCACACAGGCAGGGAACTGTGCAGTGCACTTCATTTCCCTCTGTAGCATCACTGGGGGGAAGGGACCAGTGGATACTTACAGGTTCCATATTGACATATGCTCAAACACTTCTTCCTCCTTGCCTTTCTCCACCTGCACTGGAAAATTTGGTCTGTATGTCCCCTTACTTTGGAAGACTAGTAAACCATCACCTCTCTCCCAGATGGCTGTCCACAGCTGGAGCATTGTGCAAAGGTGTCTGTCTTCTCCATGGGGATCCTACAGGATCCAAAGCAGCTCCACAAACTGAAGATCTGTGTGCCAGCACTTGGGAAACAGTTGCTGGTGCTACAATTCTATCTGATTGCTGATCTGTGACTCACCTGGCATTTCAGGAAGATCATTAGGAAAGTTGTGGAAAGGCAACTCCATCAATGTCTTGGTTTCATTGACACAAAAGGAAATCAGTAGCCCACCTAATTATCTCTTGGCTATTGAGGGTAAGGTGCTCTGGCTCCATTAGCTGTTTTCCTGAACTGAGAAATGGGAGAACTCAGGGGCCAGTTCTTTGGGATCTTCCATCCTCCCTAAGCCCATGGATATTTGCTTTTTCATTTGTAGACTAAGAGGAGTGGCTGGAGTGGCAGCTGTGAGGGGTAACCATTGCCCTCCTGACAGACCTCACAGGACAGTCTGCAATCATCACTCTGTTTCAAAGACTCTTGCTCCAAACATATGCAAGGCTGTTGTGATGGTTAATGAGTTTCTTCTCTAGAGAACAGGATATTGGCTCACAAATTGTTTTCAGGACCTAAGAAGTAATTTAGGAATGCATTTCCTTTTCAGTTTAGTAACCCTTCAAATGTTCTTACCACATTCACAAATGTTCTCCTAGTGTAAAAATAAATATACACCTCAGTTAGTGTGTGTGTATAAACAAATACAATCTGGTTTTGTGTATCTGCTAAAACAGAAGAAAAAGAAGTTGCAAAAGCTAACTAAAACACACTACTTCAATACCTATTTCTGGATCTTCCCCCACAGTAATATAAAAAAACTATGCCCAATTATCTCTCCTATCTAGTAATCCAACTGATGTGTGTATTTTGTATGCTGTGACTCATTTAATTTGGTTATTTCCTCCCCTATAAAGTTCATCCCTACTCTGGTCCCACCTTAGAGGCTTAGCTGTCTGCTCACCCAGCTGTTTGGTGGCTCTGGCTCAGGGACCTCTCTGTGCCTGCTGTTGCAGTGCTTCCCTCCTCAGCCTCTCCTTCCACATGGCTAATTGCAGAACCATAATTAGCTCCTTACACAACTGTATGAGGAAAGCTTTCATGCAACTGCTCAGTATGAGCAAGCAGAATGCCACACAGCTTGTGCTGTGACCTCTCCTTTATTGTGGGCAGGAAAAAAGCACAGCAGGAACAGGCTTGGGCTTACAGCACCAAGGTCGCTTTCCCTGCTGCTTTTAAACCCTGCAGGCCAAGCCATCTCAGCTGGAAGGCTTCACCCCACCACCTAGCAGTCTGTGGGTTTACAGACCCTCTCTCAGCCTGCACATGGTCTGGGGAGAAGCCTTTCAGCACATTGTCCTTGATTCTTGTGGATGTTAAAGGAGAGCTGCTGTTTGAGAAGGGTGGATTTCCATGGCTCTCTTTTTTAAGGCTAGTGCAGTTCCTGCTACAGAACTGAATGGAGAATCTCCAAGGAGGAGTGGCCCAGTAGGTGTCAACAAAATATATGCTTGCCAGCTACAGAGGCTTCAGCTGGCCCTGCTCCATCACACCTGGACCAAGGTTGGAGGGATGCCCAGCTTGAGGGCAGGAGGGTGAGGACAGGAGACAGGCTGCTCTGTGGGCAGCAAAATCTCCTGCTGCCACCAGAAGCTGTTGAAGTCCCTGCATGCTGCCTGAGCCTCTCCTGACAGGGTGGGATCACCTTGTCTCCCCACGTGTTTCTGTCTGGTGGGTCACCATCTGCCCTCTTCTAATGACTGTCAGCTGTCAGCATTCTCTGAAGCCAAGGTGGGCTTGTCAGAGCCTTGTTCTCCTCAGCCACTGCATTTCCTGACATCCATTTTCCCTGAGAGGTGTGGAGAATGTTTCTGCTGCCATTGCTGGGTTTCCTGGAGATGATTTAGGGCACTTTCTTCTGCATTGTTGCCTGGTTTTCTAGGCAGAAATGTCAGTCATTTCCATTTGTATGTGTAAAAAGAGAGGGTGTTTCAGACTTGATGGCAGACTGGCCATGCAGGACATGCCCTCGTGTTGTGGTAAGACAAAGCAACTGTTATGTCTCTGTTTCTCTCCACAGATCTGCAGCCTACCTCCACCACAGCCACAACTCAGCACTGCATCCCAGGCACCACAAACGTCCAGTCCCCTTCCAGCTCAGGTGAGTCCTCCCACTGAATCCAGATCTGGTCACACCACAAGCAAGTCCTCAGCCCTGACAGGCTTCTCTTTCAGCCTGCTCCCCCACAGGTGGGCCTGCAGACCATGACCAACGGTGCCATGGTCCAGCTGGTAGGGGCCAGAGTCCCACCACACTGCTCACATCTCCCTGCTTTAGCCTGGCCTCTTACCCACGTGCAAATCATTCCTTTGGCCCTTCTGCCTCCTGGTGCTCAGGCAGTGCAGCCCTGCTGGAGGGAGTGGGGTAGCTGGTGCTGCTGAGCCCCAGCAGTCAGCATGGCCACGGGGACAGGAGGGCTGAGCACTCTTGCCCACCTTTGCATATGACAGTATGGAGGGTGCCTCATTTCTGCATTGGGTGAAGGTGTGACCTTCTGTAAAGCCTTGGCATTTGCTTGATCAGTAGAGGCTTCATGGGAACAAAGCAGGAGAAAGTCATTCCAGCTGAGGATGTCCAGTATACAGCTAATCCTTAAGGTGCTGACTGGGTTACCTGCAGCATGGCTGCCCATGACTGAACAGGATTTTCCCACCACACTGCTCACATCTCCCTGCTGCACCCCTGCCCTGCTTTAGCCTGGCCTCTTACCCACATGCAAATCAGCCCTTTGGCCCTTCTGCTGTGGCTGCTCTCTACAGCTCTTCTTTATATCTCAGACCTTACCACTCTATACAACTACCTGAAAAGAGCTTGTAGGGAGGTGGGAGTTGGTCTCTTCTCTGAAGTAACAAGTGCTAAGACAAGAGAAGTGGCCTCAAATTATCCTGGGGGTGTAGGTAGGGGAGTGTTAGGCTGGATATTAGGAAAAGCTTTTTCACAGAAAGGGTTGTTAAGCTGTGGAACAGGCTGCCCAGGGAAGTGGTGGAGTCACCATCCCTGGATGTATTTAAAAGCTGTGTAGCTTAGATACTTAGGGGCATGTTTTAGGGGTCAGCATGGAGGTGTTAGGTTAACGGTTGAATGCAATGATCTCAAAGCTCTTTTCCAACCAAAACAATTCCATGATTTGATTGTTGCACAGTCTACCATGTTCTCAGTGTTGCCCTGATGACAATGAAGAGGAGAGAGAGGAAAGACAAATCAGCTCATCTCTAACAGAGTTGGATCCAGGCCATGAAGGGACACGAGACTGATAAAAGACTTAGGAACCTGGGAGGGTGTGTTTAGTCCCATTTAAAAAAGGCAAAATGTGCAGTTGGGAGAAGTTAAATAGTTTGACCAGTGTTGGGGCAAAGGTGGGAATTTCTCACTGGGAAATGCTGGCTAAATTCCATATTCAGATCATCCCCACATTCTTCTTCCCCCTTCCTCTTTCTCTTCAAATGATCAGATACATAGCATATGCAAGTATTAGTCTGCCTCCACCATAGGAATGGAGATGGAATGTCTGTGGATATATTGAACGGTATCCTACTTTTCTACCTTTGCACAAAGCTCAGGAGCCAGCCATTAAGGCAAGACAAGTGTATGCCACATAATTAATTTCCTGTGGTGGACAGGAGACATGACTGGAGGACCTCACACAATCATTTCATCACAAACCAGTGTGCTTGCTGATTGTTGAAAACGTGTGATGGTCAGTGGCTGTAGGTACCTCTGTGTTTGGACTTCTCTTTCCTCTGGCAGCATGGCAGGTTTTCTATCCAAACTAGCTGAAGGTACATTTTCCAGAGGAAAAGGAGTAGAATGGAGAAAGAATCTTAAAAGTCCAATTAATTAGTCCCTATTTTCTTGATGGCACTTGAAACAATAGTTTTAGGCACATCTGCTCTCTGAAGGCAGGAGAAAGAGAAACATTGACAGATGCATAATATCATAATAAAACATTCTTGCAATAATAATTACATCTGATTTGGAAGAAGTAGCATACTTTGATAGCTGTTTCTACTTAGTTTTACTGGAGTCTATGAGAATCTAGTACATACTCATTTCTAAAGCACTCATGGGGAAAAAGGGGAGAGGAGAATAGGAGCAATAGGAAAGATGCATAAGAGAGAGTTCAAAGCATGGACAAATGTATTTTTCTATAAATAAGAGGCACTGCTTTTTAAATTTTCACTGATGAAAACAGATTGCTTAACCATTAATTAGAGTGTAGAAGCATAGATGCTTAAGCACATATAGCTTTAAAAAATATTTTTTAAATTCAAAATTATGGTCTGCAATAGTGATAACCATTTTGAGAGTCATTGACACATTTATTATTCTTTCAGTAGTTGTTAATTATAAGATTGGTAGCTACCCAATGACAGCATACAATTCTTAAGGGATTTTTGCTGAGACAGTTGCTGGTGTCTAAGCAATCAGTAACAGCACATCTACATCTGACCCATATTTTGGAATTTGTTATAAATCATGCTGCTAATGAGAAGTGCATGAGGCAATGACTAGTTCCATTTAAGTCTTGCAATTTACAGAAAAGCCATTTGTCCTGCAGTGTGTTTAATGGCAGATATTCCTAGCAGTTAACATGACAAATGATTGCCTAGCACATGAAGAGTGGGGTTTCAGAGTCCTCATATTCAGCTTGATGTGGTTCCAACAAGAACAATTTCACCTCAAAAGGGAAATTAGGTCTGTGTAACTGGACTGAGGTGGCAAATCAAAAATATTCCTGTGTTGAAGTGTCAATCAGGTGGCCTTGGCAAGAAGCAGAGGCACAATACTTCAGCCTTCTGAAGGAATGTAGAAGGAAGGATCTGTCTTCAGCAGTTTGTTTAGCCCACTGCTTAAGAGACCGTTGTGCTGTTATAAAAACATGGGAGGTGACAATTGTGAGTTATAATAGTAAGCACTAAGAGACATAAATAAAAATAAGTATCCTGTCTTCATCTCTGCAATGTATGCTTAATCTTTGCTTGCACTTATAGACAATGTGGGATCTGATAATGCTTGGAATTAAGATTTTTAACTGTCCTGAAGTACTATAGGATAGGAAGCAATATGCTAAAGTGTGCAGCATCACCTTGGAGGAACACTGCAAAATTCATTGCAAAAATATTCAGATTTCCCTCTGTGTAAGGATACACTTCCTTGTTCCTGTGAAAACTGGCAGCTTAATAATGTTAAGTGCACTAAGGAAATAGTTCTATTTAAAGTGAGGCCCTTCAGTTTTGTTTCAGAAAGTGCCATGCTCTGTGTTTTCCTCTGCGACACAAATAAGAGTCAAGGGAAGAACGTGAAAGTTAAAGTAGGCTCATATGGAGCACAATGCCCTCAATATGTCAGTGGTGGCTTTTTCACTGCCACCTCAGCAGAGGAGGCTGAAATGGCTTCTTACAACCATTCAGTCCAGGCTGGCTTTATGATTTGTGTACCTTTCTCTGTCCTGGGTAAAGATTTTGCTTAAAAACATCCTCTGAGCTTCTTTACACTGTGGTTGTTTCTCTGTGGCGTGCGGTCACACTGAAACAAATTCCCTGAGCTAATTGTCCTTTATTTATCCTTTCTACACTGGAAGTCATTTAAAAGTCAGTTCTTTTATGCTGATGTAAAACTGGATAATACAGTTGTAAGGCTAAGTGTGCTCATGGTTGTTGCATAGGAGGAAATAAGATCTAATAGGACCCTTTTTGATTAAGTAGTCTCTGTTCATAGTCCCAGCTCTTTTTCATTCACTCAAGAGGAGATTTTTGTCAACTTCAGTGAGTGTGGGGACGTGGCAATCGCCACATTCTTTGGGGTCTCAGCCATATCTCTGCATAAACATAAAAATAAAAGAAATTAAAATAAGGTTGATGACCAAATCTTTGGCTCCTGGAACTCAGTACATCTCTTTCCATTAGTGCCCAAGGTGGTGAGTCTGTTTTTGAATCTGGTGATTCTGGTGGGATTATTTAGGAGAATGTCTAGAGTATCCATTGATGTGTTCTGTATTCTGCAGTTGAATATGCTAAATTTTAATTTTCAATACAAAAAATTACATACATCTTAGCTGATTAATAGCTATGGTCAAATGACCAGGGAACTTCCACACAGAGATGAACTTGATGGTGGCAGGTGATTTTTGCCTACCCTGGTGACATGCAGACTGCCCTCAGCAGTGCTGTTCTCTGCAGGCAGCATGCACAGGCTGAGAACATTCTTTGATGAGCAGAGCTCAGCATACTGGTACAAGCTGCCCGTGCAACGTGGTGGTTGCCACAGATTCTCCTGTCAGTGTTCAGGCCTTGCAAGATCCTGGCTCTATATTGCCAGGTGCATGCAGGCCCCCCAGATGATAGTGTGCTCCTCCCTGTAGCAGACAGATTGTCACCAGCCTAACCTCATTCACAACCAGCTATTTATATAAGTGATCACATGGCATCAGGACTAGTCAAGTGAACGATCGTTTGTCTATGTCTGCAAGGGATTCACAATCTGGCTGCGTGCTGATTGAAGCACAAAACATCAAAATAGATGTCTAGAGAAGCTCAGTTTGATATTCTGTGCTAAAACCTGCAAGTGATGGAGGATTGATTGTGATGGATGGATGGTTGTGTTGGAGGCTACCATGGCAGCTGGAGCTAGGGGAGGACAGGAGAGGGACCTTCTGCCTGCTCACCAGCATCGAATCCTAGGGCAGCGTTGTGGTGCAAGTGGCTTATGCTGTTGGGATAACCCCCAGAGGGCAATTTTCAGCTGGCAGTGGACTTGTCCCTCATGTTACATAAGTAGAACTTAGAAAGTGTCTATCATATGCAAATATAAACTGCTGTGGTTCCTGTCAGGACAGCTGCTAACTGCACACCTTCCTTTTTCCTGCCGCTTCTCGCCAGCACTCAGCTGAGAACAGATTTTGCTGCCCTGCTTTCGCAGCCACAAACCTGCAAAACGTCCTGCCAGGGGTTCTGAAGCTTCTTTTCCGTACCTTTGTTCTCTGCAGGTCCAACAGATCTCAGTATGAAGAGGCAGTTAGCCAGCAGCTCTGGATCCTCCAGCAGCTCGAGCTCTAGGCCCCAGCTGAGCCCCACGGAGATCAACGCGGTGCGGCAGCTGGTGGCCGGGTACCGGGAATCCGCCGCCTTCTTACTGCGCTCTGCAGACGAACTGGAAAACCTCATTCTGCAGCAGAACTGAGTCCCGGGCCCCTCCCACCGGCCTGCTCTGCCCCCAGAGTCTCCACTAATGGCATTGTGATTTCCCAGAGCACACGCTTCGGTTCCTGCACAGCCCCGTAGGAGAGCTGGTTACCATAACGCCACGCTGTTCTCGATCCATAAAGTGATGTGTTCAGGTGCTTCAAAGTGAACTTCGGCCTCTGGTATTTCTGAGGTACTTTACTGTGTCCAGCCTCTTGCTTTTGTTTTAGTGTGTCAGCATAAATATCGAAAAAAAAGTGGCTAGAAATTAACTCGTTCTAACACGTGGAGGAAACAGAAGATGCTGTGATGGTTTAATAAAATACGGTTCAAGATCCAAGTGCAATATTAGTGGAATGTGATACTGACTCATTGGACTTAAAGCTGCAGTATATGGCAAAACGTTGCCAAATGTCCTGTTGCTGCAGGGCACAATTGCAATTAAAAGGATCTTGTATTTTAAAAAAATGTAATTTTTATAAAAAACGAAACAAAAGAGAAGATTTTTTTGTTTTCATTCAAGATTTTTCATTTTTACTTTGGTAAACTTTTTCACTGGTCCTGAAAATGTTTTGAGGAGCTATTTTAAGTCCCCCCTTCCTCTCTTGAACCCCTGACTGTGCCCTTCTCCCCAACTTCATATTCTTTCTACAACGAGTAACTCTTGATGCTGGATAATTCTTCCCCCGTGTACTGTAAATTGTCATCTGTGGAATACCTTCCAAAGGAAGCATGCATTTCCTGCATTCATACCATTCTCAACTCCATTCTGTAATATATTGCAGCTTTATTAGCAATTAATAAGGAGTTGAGGGTTTTTTAAGAAGACATATCATTGAGAAAAAGGAAAAGATAAATTGATTTCTTACAGTGAGCTCATCTAACTCCATGATCACTGCTGCTGTCCTATACAAGTCCCTCTAGTTGTGATTGGATGTAGGTGATGAATGTTAAGAGGTTGCAAGTGACAATCTGAAAATTTGCACTCTTGTGTGTATTTATTATTTTTTTTTTTCCTTAATTTAAACAAAATTCTTACCGAGGAAGGTCATTGACACTTCTGGTATGATTTGTATAATTCCCAGGCCTAGCTAAAACCTGTACAAAACTGTAAATGGATGCAGCTGCAACTATAATAAAACTCTTCTCTCCCCTTCCCCACTCTTCCCAACCCCTCTATTTCTTATTTTATAATATTGATTACACATTAATGGTGTTTTCTTTGTGCACTACAGCAGGCTTATTTTTAAGTATATAGAAAAAAAAGTACTTTAGTTTATGCTTACTGTACTATCTGTTCTGTTGTTTAGCTTTTGTTGAATAACAAGTTTCTTGTGCATTCCTAAATTTGCCTTATTTCATGTACAGAATTTTATGTAATTCCGTTTTTGACAATGAGTTTAAGGCATCAGTGATATTTTATATCTACTTGTTACATATAGTTTTCCAAGTAATGACTGTGATTGTGACCAAGTAATGTGCACTTTTTCTTGTAACTGTGGACATTGCTATGCTTTTTTTTCTCTAGTGTTTCTAGAATTACTGTTGCTTACAGTTATGTAAAAGAAAAAGAACTTTTGTGATACTGTTGGTGAATATTAATGTGAAAAAGCCTATGAAATATGAGTATTTTGGAGGTACATAGATACACAAACATCTCTAAGTTGTGGACTGATGTTCACATATTTAAATGAGATTTCAAAAACTGAGGGCTGGAATCATTTCCTCTGTTTTGTTTGGGTAAATAAACAGATTTCTGTGTTTAAATACATGATTGTGAAACATTATAACGTTTAAATTGACGTAGCATTTAAAGCTATAAATATTATTGTCTTTAAAAGGAAAAAGCTTTTTAGTCCAATTCATGCAGATACTCAAACCTCATTTTTCAAACCTGAGTAAATTCCATTGGCTGATCTAGCTGGAGCTTTATATTAAAGAAGAATTTCCTCAATAAGAGCAGAAATAGATGGTCCATAAATCATGAGATCCGAGTCACTCGCATGTTTAGTTTAAGTTGGCTGGAGGCAACATCATTTTGCCACTCTACATTTGTTTTAAAATCTATTGGATGTCTTTTTAAAGACACTTACTCTGGGATATGAGGATATTGTTGTAAATTCTTACTCGTTGCTACCCATCACTTGAGAGATGCATTTGCTCCTAAAGTTTTACCCTGCTTGTGGCTTTTATCTCACCAGGCATTCAAAAGCCTGTTAGGAACCAAGTGCCTTTTCCCCCTCTTCTACTTTTTCAGATATCTACAGCTTCTTTTGTCTCTTGCGTGCCAGGAGAGGATGAAGTAGGTACCTTGTGCCATATCACTATCTTGGCCTCATCCAAAGAAAAGCTCTGGCATACATCTTCCACAGAGAAGAGGAGTGACAGCTATGCCCAGCTTTCCAAGCTTCCCCAGTCTTGTTGTGCAGGGCAGTTGTGCTGCCAACTAAGCAGCAACCAGCAGATTGTCTATCAGGCTGCTTGCCAGCAAGGAATGCTTCTCAGCTGGGCAGCCTCGCTGCTTTTCAAACTGTCTTGCTAAATCCAGATAAAGACAAGAGGCTAGAAGATGAAAAAGTAAGAGATTTACTTCAGTGTTGTACCCTCTGACTTCTTTTTCTTCTCCCTAAATTACTGCTTCACTTGAGGGAGAAGTAGGTAAGTTGGGGCTCACCATATGACCTTTAAGGCCTATGGCTAGTCTCTTTTTCCTGCTCCACCCTCAGCCTACTTTGATAGTTCTCTAAATAGGTCTTCTACAGCACACACATCCTCTTCTGGCTGCCACCTCTGTAATATTTAGGGCCTTCTTCTATTATAGGTACAACTGATGTCCTTCTCTAAAGGCTCATAAGAAAGATACTTAGCTTTCAGTTCTCAAGTGGTTTATCTGTGCCAAATTTCAGCAGACTGAATGGGGTTTTTACTCTATAGCTGTTCCCTTCTCTGAGTACTGGATTTATTCATCTCTTTGAAACAGTCATAGATTCTAATATGGTTTAAACTTCCTCTTCTTCTAAGAGGGTACCAAAATTTAGACCTTGTCCTGTGAAGGAGAGGTCATAAATCTCAGTCCACTTCTGTGCATGCAAATTCTTCAGCTGACTGCTTGCCCAATATAGAGTGATAGTATCATTAACAGGCAGACCAGCAGCCAAACTCCTCCCTCTGCTCTTAAATCATATGCAAACAACCCAAGGTGCCACACCACCAGAGGAGGGAACAAGTTAACACACTCACTCACTGCGTGGGATGTGAAGAAGGGAGCAAGTTGGCCAAGGATCCAAGCCATGGGAGATGGAATTTACCAGTCCAAGAGTCCAATTATGTCGTGGGGACTCATCTTTCTCCCTGCCATCCTGGGAACTCCACTTGCTGTACACAGGCAGGAAGCCTTTCTGACAGCCAGAACCCCCACACAGCACACACTGTGGGAACAGACCTCCAAACCCCACTGTGGGCAGAGTCAGCTCTTACAGAGGTGGCTTCTTGCCCCACCTCCAAGTTAGTGTGGAAGGAGGGGGCACCTGGTGGGGATCTCCTCATCAGTTCCCACCCAAGGTGAAAAGCAATGCAGAGGGTCTGTCTTGCCTGGCTGTGAACATCATCCATCTGCCCACTCTCATTCAGGGCTGGGGGTTTAACCCCAGCACTTCACAAATCTAGATCCAAGCATCACAATTAAATTTGTCTTCTTGTATCTAGAATAGGTCTCAGAGTCAGCTACTCTCTGCCTGCTTTGAACCTTCTAAGGAAGTAAAACTGCCAGGGGAGAAGATGTTGTACCAGCTATAGGCTGAGTCAGGTATCCAGAAATAACTTCAGAGATTTCTGTCTCTTACCTTCATCTTCTGTAATCACTGAGGCTGATCACCTCAGCCTGGCTATTGCTGCTAGGATAAGGCCAGTCCCTTCCAGCATGGGCATGACTGCTCAAGGCTGCCTCCAGAAAAGCATTATCCTTACATCCAGTATCTTTGTTAAACTCCTACTTCATGATGGATGTCTCTCTACAGGATCTCATCAGTGCAGACTGGAAGATGCTGGCCTTCCTTGGGAGAGCCTCATCTCTTCCCAGCTATCTTTGGGTTTTCCTTGGGAGTGGTCCTATGAGACCTTCAGTCTTCAAGGGGTTGCTAAAGACTGGGAAAGGTGGTGGGAGAATCTCATACAATGTCCTTAAACTCCCATCCAGACCTAAGTACCAAACTTGGCCATGGTCTCAGGGGGTTGAGTCTTTTTTGGCTTACATCCACATTGGAAGACAATTAATTTATCCATCCTGCTCTCTTGTCTCCCTGATTTCTAGAGGAGATTTCATTGACTAGGGCAGGCAGCTGTGGGTAATAGCTTTAGATGCTTTAGACCTTATGCTGTGGGAGTGGACAATCCAACCCATTTGGCAACTAACCAGATTTGTTTACTGCTTTCAATGTCAGTGGGGAAACTGGAGTCAAAACACATGAAAAGAGACCTGGAGTCAAAAGGTTTTATCCAGATTGGCACTTTGCTGCCTGCTGTTGAAGGAGAACACCACCTTATCCCCCATGAGGAGTATCAGAGGCTACAGAAACACAATGCACAGGTAAGCAAGTATTAGGTGGTTCAAGAGCTGCCCATCCTGTGTGGAGAATGAGTTTTCTGAATGAGGAAAAGCAGATGAAATGTACTATAGCTGTAAAACTAACCGAAAAATGGGGTTATACTGAAGGAATTGGATATTCTTGCTGTGCTGACCTGAGTCCTGGCTGAATAAGCTTAAGTGGAGGTAAGTTTTGTTGGTAAAACTCCTCTGAAATAGGAATGATTCTTTCAAGTTGGTAGAACTGTGTTAAAAACTTTCCATAAACATGTTAAAACTTTTCTGAATTTGGGTTTGAGTGCCTTGTGAGGCATTCATAAGGAAGACATGTGTTTTCCTATATAAAGAAAAGCTGACCTCAGTAGATCTTGAAGTCAGGATCTCGCCCTGACTCCATCCACTGCAGTTAGCAGGCACATGAAAAGAGCTGTGGAACAATGGCAGAACTCAAACAGCAGCACATAGCTGGTTACTGCAGTAAGTACACACGGGTATGAAATGGCTGCACTGGACAAGACCAGTTGTCCACAGCCTGGTGTTCTATCTCTGGCAACAAATAAACCACAGATGCAGCAGGTACAGCAGATCAGAAGAACAGAGCAAGCACAAAGCAATGTTCTCTAAATGCATGT